TATCTATCTATCTATCTATCTCTATATCTATTTATCCATCTATCTATCTATCTATCTATCTACCTATCTATCTTGCTAGGTCTATCCATTATCTATATATATATCTATCGTTCTTACGTCGCATTATTTCCCGTTTTTATCTCTCTTCTCCCTCCTACTGTTCCAAACCCTCGCATCTTCTCTTTTTTCTCTTCACTCCTCCAGTCTTAGAGTAGGCCTATATCTCTCATCCTCTCTTTCCCCCATCCTCCAGTTCTCATACTCGCTTTGTATACATCTCCCGTTTCTATTTATTTCTCCTTATCTGTCAATGCAGACATGTACATCCATATATCTGTTTTTAGTTTATCATTTTCTGTCTATTTATTTATCTATTTACACATGTACCTGTCTGTATGTTTTCATTTTTATATTTGACGATCTGTTTTTCCTCTCTGCACGCTTTAATCCTCGTTTCCTTCTATATGTGACTGTACAATCTAATTTTTGTTTCTACTTATCTTTCTTTTAAATATTATATTATGTACCCGTTTTCTTTTTATTGTGTTTGCTTAATTTGTTTTCTTTCTACGTCCGTTCCTAGTTCAACTTTTGATTGTCAGATATCCATTCATATTCTTTCTCCAAAAAAAAAATGACTATAAAAATGGGCATATCTTTTAGTGCGTCTTTTGTGGAATCAAGCATTGACCAATGTATTACTATTGTTATAAATATATACAGAGTTCGATTGTCAATCCTAATTTGAAATAAATTAGTCAACTGTATCAACTTAAATCATTTTTTGCCAATCATGTAATCCTCATCATGAACATGAATACTTTCAGAGGATATAATATTTTGCTCCTGTAAAAATATCGCAAGACGACAGCGGAATTTGTATTGGTTGTAAAAGTGATTATAACTATCTTCTTCAATTTACTGAACTTATTCAATGCCGTTGTACCGAGAAATAATTGAAGAAAAACACTCGTATAGCCTGAAAACATCAAGACTATGATCTATGAGATATTCCTTGGTTGTAGGACAGCTGGGAAGAAATTGAATGATTTTTTTTCCTGTTTCGTGGCGGGAACAAGATAGGATGATGATGATGTTTTAGAAGAAGATGCGACGTCGTAAATTACGACGTCTCCCGCTTACCATTAGGGAATCAAAATATACACCCTGCTTGAAGAATACAGCTTGATGCTTAGACGAACGCCTGCAGTATACACAAACAATCACAAACAAAAAACTCGACCAGCTCGAGAATCAAAATAGGTTGAACATGAAAATCATCTGGCTATTTTATATCTCTTCTATTTCATTTTCCATGGAAGGGATGGGTGTGTGTGGCCTGTCAGAAACTTTAAATCATCGTCTGTCTTCTGGTTGGCTTATTCGCTCACTGATTTCTTGTCTTTGTTTGGGTGTTAACGCGTCATGTTGATGCATCTTGTTAACAACATCCAAAACAAGCCATGTACCCCCTCTCCCCCTTCTGCCCCACCCATCCCCACCAACACTATACAGCAACAAAATTATAAGTTTTCTGAGCTTCGAGATAAACACGCAATATGTTCCTTTTTAGTTTTCTAAGAATCACATATGGAAATTACGATCTTAATCATTCTTGTAATAAGCATGCTAAAAAGTTATTTGTAAAAAAAAAAAAAAAAATGGTACGTGAATCAACGATGTCGGAGAAGGTAAGCTATATTAGGCACAATAAAATGCAAAAATGGAAATAAAAAGTGAAAAGACGGAAAGAGGGAATAAAAGAAAAAGTATGTAAAGAATATGGGAAGGTACTTTCGGACATATTGACTTTTATCTTATAATACTGTGTGTTATTTTTTACTATTTCGAAGAGATATAAACCGCTTGATTATTTCAGTCAGACATCGGTTGGGTGGGATAGGGGGGGGGGGGGACTTAAGTAATCATGATCTTTGTCTATGTAAACAATTTTTTTAAAAAGTTGATTGCATTTTCATCAAAGCCCATACACATTTCAAGAGTTTGAAGAGTAATACTTAATAGATCAATAATCTCAATCCTTATCACTGGTCCATTTAAAATTAACCTGTAATCATTAAAATAAAAAAAGAAAATATAAGAAACTAACTTTTAACGAGAAGGAAAGTGGAGAAATTTTTATTTAAAAATTAAAGCAAGAAAATGTGTACAGAAATTACTTCGGAAAATGGAGGATGCATGGAATACTTGAATGATTAGAGTGAAGAAGAGTGAATAAGAAAATCAAAAGAAAGAGACTCATAACGAACAAGGGCTGGTTATAATGACTTTATTAAAGACAAATTGTCGGTGGAAATAATCGTTGTTTTAGGTAACTAGCGGCATTTCTCCAGCTAAGGAGATTACTTGTCAATTTTACACCAGGATATCCCGTTTGAAGTTTTTCCGACTGTCTACGGGGCAAAGTAATAACGGGATAGGAGATTTTTAGCACGATTATTGAATCTCAGAACCACTGAGTCAACAGATAGGTTTCATGAATGTTGCTAAATTTGACGAAATAATCCATTTGTGGAGCGTGATTGACGAATAATTGAGAAATTGGTGAATAATATCTCATGCAGGTGCAAATTGCAAAATGAACTATTTGCGGTGAAAAGGACTTTTGAAGCAACTGCGGAGTCAAGATTTTTTTAAACCACTTTATATCAGTTTTATATGTTTTAATTTTAGGTAAAGATTTGGGATTCAGACAATGAAAAAGTAATACAGTAGATGTACATTTTAGAATTTCAAAATAACCAGTAACTAAGAAATTTAGCAATTATTTTATTTCATTCAGAAATTTATTTCACTACACACTCATAATTATATTGATAATTTCTTCATTCATTCATCCATTCATAAATGCATCCAATCATTTTGTTCATTCGTTTATTCATTCATTTGTAGATTCATTCATTGACTCATCCTTTCGTTGATAAATCAATTTTAAGTTTATTTGTTTATCCATTCATCATTAATTCGTATACTCAATCACTCATATGTTCATTACAAATTCCATTCATTCATTCATGTGTTATCATTCATGCAACCATTCATTAATTCATTCATTCACTCATTCATTCATTCACTCATTCACTCATTTATTCACTCACTCATTCATTTATTCATTCATTAATTTATTCATTCATTAATTTATTCATTCATTAATTTACTCATTCGCTCATTCGTTCATTCATTTATTCATTCATTCATTCATCAATTCATTCATTCATTCACTCACTCACTCACTCATTCATTTATTCATTCATTCATTCATTCACTCATTCACTCATTCATTCATACATTCATTCATTCACTCATTCATTCATCCATCCATCCATCCATTATTCAATCCATTCGTTCATAAAGCAATTCATTCCACAATGTCAACCACACTTGCACACAAATATCATCTGAATATGGCAGCCTAAAATAAAATCATGCACAACACGATAATTGTTTCAATATCCTCCTATTGATCATTCGATCATTTTATTATTACCTATGTTAGAATCAAACAATATCTCACGCGTTCAGCTGCAAGAAGATGCATCTACAAAATCGCCAATATGCAAGAACAAAACAAGTATTAAGGCGCTAATATTTGTCACCCTTTCTGACTCACAATGAAACTAATTATTAATCATTAGTTGACTATAGCACATTGCATAGTATAAGCAGGTAGTAAAAGCTGAAGAAAAAAATGAAGACACGTTTTGATGTAAGAAAAATTAATTATCGTTTTAGAAATGAGAAGACAATCTTTCGCATTTGATACAAAGGAATGTCAACATTTTTAGAAAGTCTAATTATTCTTTCTTAATAAATTTATTACAAAAAAAAATTTGGGTTTAGTGGTTTGATATTTCATTACTGCAAACATTTTTTTAATAAAATTGAATTGATCGTCTATGTAGCATTAATTGCTCTTGGAAACAAGATGATTAATGTCTCCAAGAAACCAAAAATAAAATACATTCTTTATTTTTGTCCCGCTAAATGAGAGGTAGAATCGTACATCGCATCTCAGAGACCATTTCATCTCTTAAATCATTGCAAACAATATCGACGAAGTGGAATATAAGGATTGCAACAAAGATAGAAGTACATAATTGGTTCATATCACGATGAAAAATCTCCTGGTCATTCTACATTTACGGGCAAATTCAGAAAGTTCCTTTTTGTTGTTTTTAGTTATGGTTCAAAACAATTCTGTATTTATTCTCAAAAGGGTGTTGAGACAATTGATTGGATTTCAGTTTGTTGAATCGACAGACTACAAACGAGAAAAATAATTTCAACAACCAACAATGTCTAGAACTAATTGTTTCAAAATGATATTGATGAACTGACATGTTTTGAAAGTAAGAGATTCACTTATAAAATTCACTTTCAATATCATAAACAATATTTCAGCTGATTATCTGGTTTAGTTTAATATATTTTTAACAGATCTCGTATGTGTTCTCAAACGAAATATAATCCTTATGATCACGCAAAGTTATGCAGCATTTCTAGAAAGTCTTTCTTATTCATGTACATGTATCTAAATTTGCATTATCAGATGTACAATTTGATTGTTAGAAAATCATGACCACGGTGAAACAAAAAGTTAACCGAGTGCAGTATAAGAAAGGAAAACAAATATTCAATGAAAGTTTATCAACTAATGAAACAGTGATGAGGGTACCCACTACCCATGAAGATAATGAACATCATTATCACATACATGTACATGAATAAGATAAGAACGAAAGGATTTTGTTTAGGCACGCTTGTGATTCAGAAAAGAAATTATTTAACACATAAACATCCGACATCTACACACATCAACTATAACGATTTTTAAAACTAGTAAGGCTTTGGTATTTGTTGAATCTAACTTTCATAATTACACATTTCGTTTTTACACAATATTTACACGATATATTGTACATTAAATATTCACATCAAATAAACAAATAAATATTGCAAAGTATTTAGTCAACTATAAAACAAATTTTGTTTCCACGTTTATCTTTATCATATTAACAGGAGCAAATCGTTCATGCTAACTGTTCTCTTATATTACAAAGCAATCAAAGTTAGCCACATTCAAATTGTTAAGAATAAGAACTTGGGATGATATTACTTTTTAAACATTTCTTTTCACCACCCTCCTTGCTGCTTTCTTCCCATTTCAAAAGTAACATAACAATATAATAGAACATATACAATCTAAAACTCATTTTAACTGAAACGTTTTACAAACAATTAAATACAGACAATTCCAAAATTCAAATGAAATAGCGAATATAGATTTATTATTTTCATGCAATGAAAATTATTTGGTCCAAGGTCCGTATTTTATTTATTTTGATCTTCTCAAAAGTATTATAATTTCAAATGAGTCCAGTTACACTGTTATCAAAGACGATATGCCCTATCCCTAGCGGATCGGGAGTTCTCGATCGGCCATGGTTTGATTGCATACGGTATCGTCATCAGCGGCAAGGCCGATGACGTCGACAGTTGAGAAGACCCACACAGCGCACCCGAGTTCAATGCCCAGGGGAAGTGAGATTGAAGAAGAGATGGGTAGACGGGTGAGACGCTGCGACATCGTCCGACGACGCTACACGATCTCGTGGATGATAACCAGGATGGTGGTGTTGATGTTGGTTGTTGACGGGTACGGCTGTTGAGACACCGGTCGATGCCGCACATGTGTAGCAGTGCGATGTCGCCTGAGAAGCAAGCTTCTGCAGCATGGTCGATTGCCAGAGAGCGCTCGACGAGGGCGGAGAGGAGGGCGATGGGGGCGATTCGACTTTCCGACAATAGTCATCTACCATCCCGTACGATAGATTTCTCGATCCAATTTTCTCCCTCTCGTAGTATTGGGCAGCTTGAACTTTCGCGAGTGACGGGGAACACAATCGGCGAGTTTTCGCGATCAGGAGTTCATTGTCCATATGATTACGAGATGGGTGCGAATCAAGCATATCTTCTCGACTTCGCTTGATACCGTTCACAGGTTTCACTTTGGAGTCGACGTTCGATGTCATGCGGGATGCAAGAATATTGTCAATTGAAAACACTGGTTTTCTCACCTCGGGCCTTGAGTATTTTTCGAGATCATGGTCGAGTTTCGGAGAGAAGTTTGGAAGATGACCGCTGTTGGCTTCTACTGAGTTCTTCATGGAGATCATTTGAGAATCCTTGTCCTCGTAATTCACTAGGTTTCGATCTATGTTTACTTGTTCTTTCTTTATGATATTAGCATTGTTATCATACTCCTCGTCATCAAAGTTCTTTTCGTTGTCGCTCTCTTTTGCTCTCGAGGCACTTTCGTCAGCCGAATCGCTATCAGATTCGATATATTTGTCGTCACCATCACTAACGACATCGATGTTTCGATTAATTGTATCCGAAGAGTCTTTACTGGGTTCATTCTCCTCCTCGTTATCCTTGTCGTTCTGCTTGGTTACGTCATTTGAACTGTTAATCTGATTATTGGGGGCTTTAGGGCGTCGCTTTCGACGTCGAAAGTTTCCGTTCTCGAACATATCCTCGCAGTCGGCCGCGAGCGTCCAATAGTTGCCCTTTCCCGGCTTTCCTTTCTCTCGTGCAACTTTAACGAAACAATCGTTGAGACTGAGATTATGGCGGATGGAATTCTGCCAGCCTTGCTTGTTGTCATGGTAATAAGGGAATCGATCCATGATAAACTGATAGATGCCGTTCAGAGTGACTTTCTTGTCGGATGAGTTTCGAATGGCCATAGCGATGAGGGCGATGTAGGAGTATGGGGGCTTCTGGGGAGCCTCTCGGCGCTGGAGCGGGGGCACTGCACTCATTGGGAGGGGGCTAGAGAACGCCCCTTCCCTGAAGCTGTAGAAGTACGGAGCTGCGGGCGAGGCGGCGAAAAGGTACTGTCCGGGGTGGGCGGCGGCCGCGTAGCTCGAATAAAAGGCGCTCAGTGATGCCATCCTGATTTCTAATGCAATAAACGATTACAAAGTCCGGAGAAAATGTTCGATGAAGATTTGTAGAAAATTAGTTCAAGTCTGTTGAAGGATGACAATCCAAGGTCCTCCCTGCATCCATGGAGCGTAAAATAAATCAGTTTTGTAATGAAGTAGAGCGATGAAGGTGAGATGTGTCTTGGTTGGCGGTCGAGATCACTCTAGATATCTAGTCACTCACTCGCTGCCCCTAAATGGGCTGCCGGGCACTTGTTAGGGCTGTTTTCTCTACAGCCTTTTGTTTTCTTTTAGGATTGTTAAATGTTGATGCATGTTCGGTGAGTTGACTTTCTGGACGAGAAGAAGAGAGAGAGAGAAGTCTGCCCTTCCAGTACACGCAACAGTGATTTCTACAGCCGAGCAATCCCAGTTTTCTCTTATGGTTTGAAACTGAAAGGATTTTTCTAGCATATACTTTACGAGTCTGTCTCCGTGCAGCTCTCCACGACACGTCATTGCTAACTGCGCTTTGGTCTCCTGCCAGTTAACCAATCAGGTGCGACCGAACCGTACCGTTTGTTTAGAAAATATCCACATCAATTAAACCTGCCCACCCAAGTCGTCTTGTAGGGAACTCGTGTTTATTTTGAAATTTTGCTTTGGAGAAATTGACCACCCATTAAAGTAAACAAAAAAGGCGAGCGCGTGAAAACTGCACACCACCCCGCGGCCGACCCGATGCCTCCCTACTCCCGGGAAGCGCTAGGCGGAGTATTTTGACAGATATCGTTGCGAAAACTTTGCCCAAGTTTTTTTTAGAGGCTAACATAAATTCTGGGGTATAAAGAGAGAGGATTGAAAAACTTAGCTTGACTTTGGTTTTGATTTCAACAAAGCTGCTAGTTATAATGGCATGCGCTGTTGGATAGCACTTCGATTTGTATATGTAGGAACATGCTGATATTTTCTTTTCGATTTGTCGGAGTTATGTCGTCGGATAACAAGAGAAGCATTTGTCACAGCACGATCTCTATTCTAGTTCAAGTCCAAAGTGAAGAAAAACAGTGGAAGAAAGCTAGTCGGGTGCTGAGAAAATATATATACAGAGATTCTACCCGGCTTTACACGGAGGAAGCATCGTTTCTGATCAAAGTAGTTAATTGTTTACATAACTTTTCTGAATTCCATCTACCTTGTCAGTCGAGAGCACAGTAGGAAGCCAAGGGATAGGAAGGTTGAGAAATAACAGATAACAATATTTCATGTATTATCAAATAATTCCGATTCGATACTGTTCAATTCTTCTCACGAAGAAAGCCATGTGTACTTTGCAGATTATGAAATGTATGTTAGGTGAGACATTGAATGTAACTTTTCTAAAGCGACAGCAAAAATTCACATAAAGTGCAACTGTATTTTGAAAAGGTAAATTTTTGAGTATCTTCTTAAGAAAATAGTACCAGGTCTGACAATATTAAAGAGTAAGCCGAATTCACAAATGAAATATAAAGACAGAAATATCGAAAATATCAATTAGAAAGCAAGACAAAACAACATTTTCTTCTGGAGATGCATGTATGCATTCACATTTCTATTGCTTAAAAAGAAAATGTCTTTCCTTTATCAAAAGCTTGAGTCATTAACAGATAATACTTAAAACTATAAAGGAATAAGAACAATGATAACAAATAACAAGAAAAAACTAACAAAGATAACTGCTGCAAGTTATTGATCAAGAAAGAAGAAAGTTCAAAGAAAACAACGCAGCCATAGCAACAATAAAGGCACTGGAACAAAACGCATTAAAGATTTTTTTAAAAAGTTATGCACAATCAGTCTACAAATTGCAAGTCTTGATTGAGTTAACATGAAAACTTCATTAAGTAAACAGCAGCGTTACATAACATCATACTATCGCATAACATAACAATCAATAACAATCAAAAACAATAACGGAAGCTTCGAACGAGCCAATAAAGCAGTAATGTATTGACCAGAAATGGTTTTTAAAAGTGGCATGTATGAATGTAACAGTTTGTGTTTATTCAAAAGATTATACGAATATTGCATGCAACGATGAATTCAGCTCTTCAATGCACTTAAACTCCACAGAGGAAACCGATGAATAAGATTTGTTGACAGTGTCCTAACCTAAAGGGGTCAAAGGTATGCAATTAAAACATGAGCATAAGCCTATATATATAAGCATAATTACCAGGAGTAAGTTTTTTTATAAATATAACACAAGTGCATCAAACTTGTTAAATCATATCTTCTTTGAAATGCTATATCCTGAGATGCTGGGAAATTATCAGATTACTTTATAGAAATGAAACTGATAAAATTGTAAACAAAATAAAAGATCATGAAACAAGCTTTACAAGAAAAGAATTGCCCAATAATACCCCATCATCTAAAGTAAAAAAAGTATTTCAAAATATAGATTTTCATTCATGTGGGTTTACATGGTTTCAGAGGACTGTCTGCAAATAAAGTATTTGAGAGACCAAAATCTAAATAAGACAATAGGATAATCGTTCAAATCAACGACATGAACTTCTCCCGAAAGATATTACTGTATTTAGATCATTTGAATCTGTTTCTGAAAAAAAAATACATAGATGTAAAATGTTCGCCAAAATTGGGGAAAGGTATATAATGTACCCAAAAAATAGCACATTTTATCAAAGCATGAGGGTGACAATCGCTCTCACATATACAGTCAACAACTAAATTATTCATACCCCTGGTAAATACGATGTTTTTTGTGTTATTCGTAACTCAAGAATGAATGATGGACTGCCTGAATTAGGGCTTTTGTTGAATACTTTTAGATATCAGCTTTAATATGTCATATTCTAAAGAAACATAAATGGGGACAAATCCATTTTTCACATACTTCAAAAATTACAAAACTTGGTGAGGGTATGAATAATTTAGCTGTAAATTGTACATGTATCCCGTCTCTTTTCTCTCTCTCTCTCTCTCTCTCTCTCTCTCTCTCTCTCTCTCTGACTCTTCGTCAGCTGTCACGTACATGCTTGCTTGTTGTATGGATCAGTTATTTCTTGTATTAAATGCTTCCACCCCCAAATCATAATCATTTTGGTGTACACAGCCCGCCTTCCCCCTCGACATCCAGACACGGTACGTCCATCATCAGCTACTGATGTGCCGCGGATGTTCGCAGGGTCCAACCAGCTCGATCTCTGGAAAGAAAAAAAGAAAATTATCTTGTTTTCATTCCCCGCTATCGAGCGCGAAACGGAAGGAAAATACAAACATAATGACAGCCATACGTCTTTCTCTTCCAAAGTTTTGATATAATTTGAGTTTAGAGAGATAGGGAGAGAGAGAGGGAGATAGAAGATAGAGCGAATGAAATTAATGTGTTTAACATTGACACGGCGTGTGTGGGGAAGATGTGGTGCTTTGGCACGCGATCCCTATGTCTTGTTGTACAGCAATGGCGTCACCGCAGAGGAAACCTCGAGGAAGATGGGCGCAGGAGGGATTAACATCGTAAAACAAAGGAATATCCGTTTGAAAACTTGCAAATGTTAATCTATAATCAAGGCACGACATGTTCAGGTGGAATCTGGCTAGGAATTGATGTGTCCTGGTCGAGCATTAGTCTCGAAAGGAACAAAAATATATACACTGTGCGATACTATATATTTGATTTTATTCAACGCACTCAGCAAATAACATTAAGGAATTATATGATAATGGGAGTAAAAACCGAATAAATGAATTTGGAGAAAAGGAGAAAAAATGAGGAAGGTGATTCTCAAGAAACTTAACATAACGAAAATAAAGATTTTGGTATGGCGGAGAAAAGAGCGCAATTATAGAAGATTTCAACTGAGAGATTCCAAGTCCGCGATAAAGTCCAAGATTCAAGAGATTAAAGTCCGAAGCAAAAAATGGTACAGATTTGAAACCAAGCCACCAAAGAGACCAATATATTACAAACTAATTAAAATCCTCACACACGGCTACATATTTAACAAGATTATCGAGGATTGTATCTTGAAACCCATCTATTCAAACTTGCTCGAGCTGCCGATCGACTTGTGACGTCATCAGTGGTATTCATGACGTCACCTAGCTGTCTCCCTGGTGGGTGTTCCATGCTCCCGTGTGCCCCTAGGGTGGGCTATGTGGGTAAACATGTCTTCCTTTTACCCCCGCTGATATCCATTATAATGGTAACTAGCCTGTTTCGCAGCCGTACTTGGACAATGTTTCGATCCACCGTGAGAAAATTAAACCACAGGCTTGGATAAGACTATCTCATATATTTTGACCACAACTAGGCGTTGTGGCGTGCGCCTGTAATCCAGCTAAAAGTGGAAGTTACAAACTGATTCAGCTGAGGACGCAGGTTCGAAACTGAGTCACGTCTTTCGGATGGTGACTTTTAAAGGTCGGTCCCCAGACGTAAATAATCATATCTGATTGATACACGTCTGTAAAAAAAAACCCAATACACACACACACACATCACTCACACATTATGAACAATACTTATGAACAATAACTGCTTTTGGATGCATGCCCTATTTTACCTTCTGATATGACAATTTTGCACTTTGATTATCATTAGAGTAAAATATAATGTCTGCGTTTACATTCAAGGGAGTTGGTACTTTGATTTAGAGTTGGCATCGTATGCATTTTTTGTAATGTCTACCTAGCAAATTATTTTTTATTTAATAATTGTGTAACGTTATAAGAAGAACTTGTTTGAAAGTCGATTGTCATACTCGAAGTTTCCGTAAGTGAACATTAATTACAGTCAATTTAAACCCCGACCCTAACTCTCACCAAACTTAGCCCTCATAGAATGAAATTCCCCATATAAAAACGCCTGCCTTTATATGATGACGATAATAAGCATCACAATTTTGTTTACCTATCCACCCCCCCCCCCTGCCTCGGCCCGCCCCGCCCGACCCGCACCCGCGTATCAAAATGCTGTTAATATTAACTAACTATTAACTATCCATTATTCAAATATCAGTCCTTTTGTTTGTAATTTTGGAGAATATTTCGAGTAATAATTGATTATTCAATGTGAATCCATTGTTAAAAGCAGATATTTTCAAATTATGCAAGTTTCGGCTGTAGCCCCATTGTTTTAACATGGGGATATAAGAATATCTCCATGGTTTTAATGAGACCTGTGTCTTTGTGGATGTGCTATGAAAGAATTGCGTGCTATCACGAAATGGTAGTTTAATGTGAAAAGACATCAACAACATTCTATTAGACAAGCGATGCTTCATCTTAATTCCTTGGTCCTCCTCGCTACGGCCGATATTATTCTCTCGTCCCCAAATTAGACTTCACGATGTTCCGCGTTTTTGTGACGTTTATGAGAAATGAAAACTTTGAGATGATTATGTATATAAATTTTGAACCTTGTAACTACAAACACGACTCATGGCTTGTTTTATGAGCACACGACGGGCAAGGCAGACAAGAATACCTGAATTTTGTGTATTTGTTGTTTTACGCAGACGATAAATTTTGGCGGGCTTG